TTTTCAGGAAATAACTAAAGTAAGGAACAAAATATAAAGTCTTGGACAAGATTTCCCAAAATACCATTCTTGTAAGTATATGGATATGTGAGGCAAAGATGGGTGGAGTGCAGGAGGTGAATGAAGGGAGGTCAGAAATGAGGTCAAAGCTGACAACAGAGATGCTGCTGGAGGACGGTCCGGGGGGAGCCCACCTGCTTAAAAAGAAAGAATTTCAGCAGAGAAAGATGCTGTGCCCCTGCATTGATGGTCAAATATAGTGGTGTAGATATTCTCACTAGCGCAATCATTAAGTAAGACTGGGTAAGTTTTTTTACTATATCTACTACAATTACATAACTTTCTGAGTGTATTCAATGACTGATTTAGAAGAAATTGAAAAATAAATGTCATTGTCAAATTGTCATCAATGTAAACTTTTAGCAATAGATTTAAAGTCACTATAATGATTTCTTTTAGAAAAGAAAAAAAAAGCCACGAGAATGAGCATCAAGGTATGTCATTTCTTTTGCATGTTGGTCCAATATTATATTATTAAGTCAAGTCAAGTCAAGTCACCTTTATTTATATAGCGCTTTTAACAATACAGATTGTGTCAAAGCAACTGAACAGCATTAATTAGGAAAATAGTGTCAATAATGCAAAATGACAATAGTAAACACAAATTTTTCAGTTAAAGACAGTTCATCATTGAATTCAGTGATGTCAACATCCAGCTCAGTTTAAATAGTATCTTTGCAATCAAGTCAACGGTATCGCTGGAAATGAAGTGTCCCCAACTAAGCAAGCCAGAGGCGACAGAGGCGATTATTACTTTTTATAATATAATTACATTACATTTATTACATTTGATATATTATATTACATGGTAATTAAAATGTTTACTAATATATAATTTTTCTTGACAAGGTATTTGTAACTTGGGTGGTTATTGTTACAAGTAAGTTTGATTAAAAAGGAAGCTGTTGTTAAAACCATTTAATACTGACATTTGTATTTGAGAAAAACAATATGCTAACACTCCTTGTCTGTCATTACTTGTAGGTACACTCATCTCACCTTCTACTCCGAGTAGGTCTGATTTTCTTCTTTATAATTAAAAAAAAAAAAAAAATCTTCAAAAGACTTAAAAGTCATATGACGCGCTGGAAGGCTCTCATGTGGTCACCCTTAAAACCTGTCCTTTTTTTGTGTGTGTATTTTTAGGTTGTATAACTCAATGGTTTGACCATGATGACCCCGATGATGAAAATGGAGACAGTGAGCTCTTGGCTGACCTTCTCAATATATATCCTGGACAAATATGTCCAAATCCAATCGATATAGATGTAGAGCCAGTCTCCGGCATGCCGTCAAATGAAACCTTCATTTTCATTTCAGAAGTGTGAGTGTATCAAAATCATTACAAAGGTTTCAGATATTATTTTGAGCCATTTAACAAAAAGTATCTTGCACGGCAATTTATATGTAAAGCTTATTCTTTTTTCTTTTCTTTTTTTTTTCAGAAGATACAATTCAACAATTGGGTTTGAGTGCATAAATTCATACCAAAGAGAAGTATGTGATGATTATAAGGTGCGCTTCACCTGCCCAGAGGAATGGTGTTCAAGTAAGTGTCATTTACACACAAAAACAGACCCAGCTTGTTACTAAATAACTGACTAGCAGTTTACAATATTAAATTGTCTAAATACTTGTTCACCTTCCATTATAAAAAGTTGTAAGAACTGTAGGTATGATTTGCAAAAATGTCATGCAAAATAATATCAAAGCTCAAAAATAATTCAGATGTAATTTTTCCTTTCTAAAGCAGAAATCAATGTGATGATCTCTTGTTGGTTTTGGATAAAATGATGATATTTACTAAGTTGGTTTTCCTCTGTTAGCATGTAGGACACCCTGGTTTGACCAAGGTAATCCAAGTATAATAGGAGACTCTGAGACTCTGTCATCAATCATGTTGACATACCCACTACAGGTCTGCGCTCAGCCCATCGCTATTGAGGTCGCAACCACTAGTGGGATCCCTGTACTGCCGGATGCACGTTTTCCAATGTACGACCAAAAATTTCATATGTTCCATTTTATTTTATTTTTATTTTCAAATAAAATAAATAATGATATGGATACATTGTTAATCTAAAGACAATGTGCCTATTCCACCAAACATGTTTGCATTACTTCTATGCACAGAATATCTGTTGCAGTTCGCTTTCAGTTTAGCCCTTGCAACTCCAACCATTTCTGTACTTGAAGGAAAATACTGAAATATGAAGTTTAGGAGCTGAAGAGAATGCATGCCCATTGCCTGTTTACACATTTACATTCACAGAAATATAAATGTAACATTTAAAGTAGACAGCAGTTATAATACTTGCCTTTATGGCTGTGCTTTATTTTAAACACTCACTGTTGCTTATACAATTGCCCATTAATTTTCCCTGAATTGAAAGAGCATCTTAGCCAATCTGTTCAGTATCTTCAAAATTAGTTTCATAGCGCAGCATGTTAAACTGGAGCTTTAAGAGCAGTCATGCAATAAAGTGTACTGTGTCTCATCCCATTTACAAGTTTCACTATTAATCAGACAATTCTACATACAAAACACTAAAATTCCTAGCATATTATAAGATGCTTTTTTTTGTAAATAATGTTAGAAGATGCATTTCTTTTTTGCAGATATGATCCAACAAAGGGCTTTACTTGTGTGAATCCACCACTAATTGGATGGTTGTGGTGGAAGTGGTGGTGTAAGGACTACAAGGTTCGTTTCACATGTCCAAGGAGTTTTTACAAACCAAGTATGTATATTTATTTCATCTAATTTATAGTTTGTTATATGATTTTTTTTTTGTCATAACAGTTTTCTCTACATGTTATTCATCAGAGTGTGTAACAAAGTGGTATGATTCTGACGACCCTGATACAAATGGAGGCGATTTTGAATTTTTGTCTACCATTCTCAATAAGTACCCTGGAGAAATATGTCGAAATCCAATCGCAATAGAGGCTCAGACCGTCTCTGGCGATCCTGTGTATCAAACTGGAAATAACATTCAACTGTGAGTCTATCGAGTTGTAACACTAAGTATGTGAAAAAACAAAAAAAATTGTGTTAACGGGGTTTTTTAAATGATGTTCTTAAATTATTTTGTCTTTTCTGAAGGTATATTTCAGCATCTGGGTTTTCTTGCACACATGTAAAACCAGGATGTTGTGCTGATTATAAGGTGCGCTTCACCTGCCCAGATGAATGGTGTTCAGGTGAGTGACATTTGCACACAAAAACAGACCCAGTGTGTTCCCTTGTAAAAAAGTAATATTATTAAAATACATTTATTTCAAACTAAGTATAGTTCAAATCTATTAACATATTTACTGATATATCGCTCGAGACTTACTGATATCAAGATTATAATTAAACTTTATTTGGAGTACTGTTTCTGCACAATGCGCATTCCTTAATATTTGGCCTAAAATGTGTTTTAATATCACTATTGAAGGGTTGTATGAACTCTGAATAATATCAGTCTTTAAATACAAGATATTTAAAGTCTGCCTAAAGTATTCTTGCAATAGTTTCACTTTAGCACAATCAAAATTGTGACCCTGGACCACAAAACCAGTCATAAGTAGCACAGGTATATTTTTAGCAATAGCCAACATAACATTGTATGGGTCAAAATTATTCCTACCGTAAATATATCAAAACTTAATTTTTGATTAGTAATATGCATTGCTAAGGACTTCATTTGGGCAACTTTAAAGGCGATTTTCTCAATATTTAGATTTTTTTTGCACCCTTAGATTCCAGATTTATATTTCAAATACTTGTATCTCAGCCAAATATTTTTTATTTATCTTATTTATTCAGCTTTCAGATGATGTATAAATCTAAATTTAAAAACATTATGACTGGTTTTGTGGTCCAGGGTCACAAATATACTTTGGTAAATCTTTAGTTGGACTTCAGCACCACTTGCGCACAGTTAAAGTGCATTAAGTACAAAATTAGTTGTTCCAATTTAGCAGACTTTAAGCACACCAGTTTAGTATACTGAAATTACAATTGCAGGGTATTTTTTATTAAGTACATAAATGTGTAAATGTATTTGTAGTATACTTGGCATGAAATAAATGTATTTCAAATATATTTTAGTATATTTATTTTTCACTAGGTTTACCAAATAACTGATTAGCAGTTTACAATATCATTAAATTGTCTAAAACGCTTGTTCACCTTCCATTATAAAAACTTGTAAGAACTGTAGGTGTGATTTGCAAAAATGTCATGCAAAATAATACCAAAGCTCTAAAATAATTCAGATGTAAGACTAGGAATCTGTCAAAAATATTTAGAATTTTTCCTTTCTAAAGCAGAAATCAATGTGATGATCTTTTGTTGGTTTTGGATAAGATGATGGTATTTATCAAGTTGGTTTTCCTCTGGTAGCATGTAGGACACCCTGGTTTGACCAAGATAATCCAGATAAAGAAGGAGACTGGGAGACTCTGTCATCAATCATGTTGACATACCCACTACAGGTCTGCGCTCAGCCCATCGCTATTGAGGTCGCAACCACTAGTGGGGTCCCTGTAATGCCGAATGGACATTTTCCAATGTACGACAAACAACTTCATATGTTCCATTTTAAACTTCCATCAAATAAAATAAATAATGATATGTATACATTGTTAATCTAAAGACAATGTGCCTATTCCACCAAACATGTTTGCATTACTTCTATGCACAGAATATCTGTTGCAGATCGCTTTCAGTTTAGCCCTTGCAACTCCAACCATTTCTGTACTTTAGTGAAAGTACTGAAATATGGAGTTTAGGAGAAGAAGAGAATGCATGCTAATTGCCTGTATACACATTTACATTCACAGAAATAATGTTAGAAGATGTACTCTTTTTCTGCAGATATGATCCAACACAGGGCTTTGCTTGTGTGAATCAACCACTACATGGATGGTGGTGGTGGGGTTGGTGGTGTAAGGACTACAAGGTTCGTTTCACATGTCCAAGGAGTTTTTGCCAACCAAGTATGTATATTCATTTGATCTACATTATTACTGTATGTTATATGATTTGTTTTTTGACATAACGATTTTCTCTGTATGGTATTCATCAGAATGTGTAACAAGGTGGTTTGATTCTGACGACCCTACAAAAGGAGGCGATTTCGAACTCTTGATGGACCTTCACAATAAGTTCCCTGGAGAAATATGTCCTAATCCAATCGGAATACAGGCTCAGACCGTCTCTGGCCAGCCAGCGTTTCAAACTGGAAATTACATTATACTGTGAGTCTATTAAGTTGTAACACTGAGTATGTCAAGAAACAAAAACTTTGTGTACTTTTTTTTTAATGATGTTCTTAAATTATTTTGTATTTTCTGAAGATCTATTTCAGCATCTGGGTTTTTTTGCAAACACGTAAAACCAGGATTTTGTGCTGATTATAAGGTGCGCTTCACCTGCCCAGATGAATGGTGTTCAAGTGAGTGACATTTGCACACAAAAACAAATGACTAACAGTTTACAAATCATTAAACTGTCTAAATTGCTTGTTCACCTTAATTTATATAAATTTATATGTATATGTTAAAAGGTATATGATAAAAAAATATATATAAGTACCAAAAGAAAACATTGAAATAAGACCAAGGGTGTTATGCATAACCTGACTAGTTATGTACAAGATCATTAAATAGTGTGGAGATTTTATTCATCTTACATTTTAGAAAGCTTAAAGGGGTCATATGATGCGATTTTAATTTTTCCTTTCTCTTTGACTGCATAAACACATTTCATCACACCAAATACACAAAATAATGTTCTTTTTAGCAGCATCATATGACCCCTTTAAAGAAATAAGATTTTGAAGAGTGTAACTGAAACAGATCATAAAACTAAAATAATTTGTGAAACTGTCTTAACCTAGATATTGGGTAATTCTTCTACAATAAAAATTGTGATATTGGTCTGACATTTTGATCTTAAATGAGAAGATTTTACCCAGTTGGTTTTCCTCTATTAGAATGTAGGACACCCTGGCTTGACCGAGATGACCCCAGTGGAGTAGGAGACTATGAGACGCTGTCCTTACTCCTGATAAAATACCCACTGCAGGTCTGCCCTAAACCCATCGCCATAGAGGTCACATCCATTAGTGGGACCCCTGCACTGCCACCTGGAAACATTTTTGTAGGGTACGGTATCCAGTGTTGGGCAGTAACGCATTACTTAGTAACGCGTTACTGTAATTTGATTACTTTTTTTAGTAACGGAGTAATTTAACACGTTATAATTTTCAAAATAGTAGTTAGAGTATAGTTACAAGCCGAGGCGAGTGCAGAGACTCGTGTGTGTGTGTGTGTGTGTGTGTGTGTGTGTGTGTGTGTGTGTGTGTTAGTGATGGGAAGT